TGGAGAAGTGTCTAGTCATGTCTTTTGCCCATTTCTTCACTGGAGTATTTATTTTCTGGTGTTGAGTTTGATACGCTTTTTATAGATATTGGATACTAACCCTTTATCTGATATTTCATTTGTAAGTATCGTCTCCCATTCTGTCGATTGACTTTTAGTTTTGCTGATTGTTTCCTTCACTGTGCAGAAGCTTTTTATTTTGATGAGGTCCCAGTAGTTCATTTCTGCTTTTGTAAAAAAATACTGAAGTCCGGGCAAACCACACACTAGAACTAGGCATGAATGATAACTTTTGCTTCTCTTTGTTGAGCACTTATTCTGTGTCAAGAACCTTCTGCAGGCACCTCTTTTAACCCCTAAGAAACCCTGAAAGGTGGAGGGATGGGGAGGAGGTTAACTCACTTATGTCTTCCTAGGCAAGCAGCTAGTTCTTTTTTTTTTTTTTTTTTAATGTTTATTTAGTTTTGAGAGAATGACTGCACGCAAGCAGGGGAGAGGTAAAGAGAGTGAGACAGAGGATCCAAAGTGGGTTCTCCACTGACAGTAACGAGCCCGAGCCTGGTGAAGGGCTCAAACTCGCGAGGCATGAGATCATGACCTGAGCGGAAGTCGGTTGCCCAGCCACCCAGGCCCCGCAAGCAGCTAGTTCTAATGCCTGCAGGGCCGGGGTGGAGGGACAGCTGAGCCGAAGCAAGCCTCCTGCCCGCTGTGGACTTCCGACTTCCGACTTCCTTCGCACTGGGCTTGGACTTGCATTTTTATCTTCTGGTATGTATGTATTTCCTCCATGGGATCCAAGATACTTTCTTTCCTGTGACAGGCCCAGATACAAACTCTGTTATTATCCCATCTTACAGAGGAGAAAACTGAGTCTCACAGAAGTGAGCACATGCCCAAGGCCACGCAGTGGCTCAGAAGCAGGGCTGCGGGTTTCTCTTAGTTCCCCGGAGGGGGCTGACCCCGGCAGCCTTCAAGCTGTCACTCGGAGCTGTCTCCAGCAGTGCCAGTGCCGGGAGGAGGGAGGAGAGAAGGGAGGGGAGGAGGAGGAGACTGGGGTCTACCCAGTGAGTCCCGAGCTCCCAGCAATTCTCGCCTGCGCCCAGAAGAGCTCCCAGAAAGGCTTCTCTCCTCCACTCAGGCCTGGAGGTGGCTTCCTCGGGGCTCAGGATGCAAAGGTGGGGGTTGTGGGCCGCGGCCTCACTGACCCTCCTTTCTGCACAGGCTTTTCCACAGACGGACATCAATATCAGCCCAGGTGAGCATAGGGGCCAGGGCCGGAGCAGGCGGAGAGGAGGACACCTCACAGATGCTTGAGGTTGTATCCGTGAGGCCTGGCTGCCTGGGCTGCAGGCCTGCCTGACCCCACGGTGTGGCGTGAGCTGAGCTGGCCCCCCCCCCCCCCCCCCCCCCCCCCCCAGCCCTTCCATCTCCCCTCCCGGGCCCCAGGGGCATTGTGCTAGGGTCACGCCCCAAAAGTCCTGATTTTAAATCCCAGTTTTGCAACTTAAAAACTGTGTGACCTTGCCCAAGTTTCTCAACCTCTCTGAGCTCAGCTTCTTTGGACAATAGGGGTGAGAGTGGCACCCTCTGGGGCTACTCTGCAAGGGAAGTCGGATGAAGTGGGGGAGTACTTCATGCTTGGTGCCTGGCACCGTAGGAAGATCTGAAAAGGCTGTTTCTGTTAGGGATTTGGCACCTGGGCTCCCCACCCTGGCTGTGGCAGCTGCCCCCAGGGAGCTTTCGGACCTGCTGCTGCGCCACCACGGTTGGGCAGGCTGAGGGGACACAGTTGTCCCTCTCGTGACCTCCCTGGAGGTCACTGCTCTGTGGCCCACTTCTGAGGGTTTTCTGTGTCCCTGGGAATTGGGACCTACCAGCCTCTGGCGTGTGGCGTTCCAGTCTCCAGCTTGAAAGTCTCAGGGCTTCAAATGAGCTCAGTTTCTCCTCTTGGCAATGCGGAGGCTGGGGGCTCGTTCTGAGAGACCCGTCCGGGTGGGAAGATTCCTGAATCCTGCAGCCTGCTCAGGGCTGAGGATCTTGCCTGTCACCTCTGCCGCGAAGGTTATTTCCAAATGTTGTTTAAAATATATGAAAATAATAATAATTATTATTATTAATGGGGTGCCTGGATGGCTCAGTCAGTTAAGTGTCCGACTTCAGCTCAGGTCATGATCTTGCTTTTTGTGAGTTCGAGCCCTGTGTCGGGCTCTATGCTGACAGCTTGGAGCCTGCTTTGGATTCTCTGTCTCCCTCTCTGCCCCTCCCCCACTCGCACTCTGTTTCTCTCTCAATAAATAAATAAATAAATAAATAAATAAATAAATAAATTAAATAATACCTATGACCAATTAAGATTTACACAGCCCTTACTATATGCCGGGCATTGTTTTAAGCACTTTTTTGTGTGTATAGATTTATTTAACCTTCACAATAACTTTATGGCAGAGATACCGTTTTGATCCCCATTAAAGTATGACTAATAATGAACTACTTGTAAGACTCCCATAAGACCACATTATTGGGCTGTTACAGTGTTGGGACCAACTTAAACAGTGGGGTGATAGGGTTACCAGAGAAAATGCCTGGTGCCCGTGTAAATTTGTATTTCAGGTAAATAGTCATCTTTCAGCATAAACATGTCTCAAATATTACGTGGGACAGGGGCCTGGAAGGCTCAATCGGTTGAGTGACTCTTGATCTTGGCTCAAATCATGATCTCACAGTCTGTGAGTTCGAACCCTGCTTCAGGCTCTCTGCTGTCAGCGCAGAGCCCACTTCGGATCCTTTGTGCAATTCTCTCTCTACCCCTCCCCTGATCGTGCTCTCTCTCTCTCAAAAATAAATAAAAACATTTTTTAAAAAAATTACGTGGGACGTAGGCTTAAAATTAGTTGTTTATCTGAAATTCAGATTTACCTGGGCCTCCTTCTTAATCTGGCCACCCTGATGGTGGGAGATGAGTTCATTCGGGCAAGTGTCGGGCTCCAGTTCTGTCATAAAATCTCTGAGCATCTGTCTCAGTCAGCTCTGGCTGCCATCACAAAGTAGGATGGACTGGGTGGCTTCGACAACAGGAATCTGTTTCTCGAAGTTCCAAGGCTGGGAGGTCAAGGTGCTGCCTGATTCAGTTCCCTGGTGAGGGCCCTCTTCCCGGTTTGCAGGTGACCACCCTCTTGTTATGTCTTCCCATGGCAAAGAGAGAAAGAGCATGTGCACACTCTGGTCCCTCTTCCTCTTCTTTTTTATTTTTATTTATTTGTATTAATTTGTTTAATGTTTATTTTTGAGACAGAGACAGAGTGCAAGCGGGGGAGGGGCAGAGAGAGAGGGAGACAGAATCAGAAGCAGGCTCAAGGCTCCAAGCTGTCAGCACAGAGCCCGATGCGGGGTTCGAACTCACAAGCAGGAAGATCATGACCTGAGCTGAAGTCGGATGCTCAACCGACTGAGCCTCCCACGCACCCCTCTCTTCCTTTTCTTATAAGGACACTAGTCCCATCATGGGGGTCCCACCCTCCTGACTTCATTGAACCCTCATTGCCCCCCCCAAAGACCCCACTTAACCATTATATTGGGGGTTAAGGCTCCAACATATGAATGGGGGAGGAACAGGGGGACACAAACATTCAGTCCATAATAATGTCTTTCATCCTTGCTCTTATGGCTCAGTTTCCGCATCCATGCAATGGGCAAGCAGGAGAGAAGATGGACAAAATATCCTTGAAGTCTGCCTTGTATATTGCAGTCTTTCCTTTGTATCCAGTGTGTGGAAAGGGCCTGAGGCTGAGTTTGCAAGTGGAAACAACTGGGGAGTCTCCTCTCTCTCTCTCTCTCTCTCTCTCTCTCTCTTACTGCTTATGTTCCTGGCATCTCTGAGCGTCAAGTTTCCTCCTCTAGAAAGTGGGGAGAATTAGCAGTGCCTACCAAACATTTGGGGGATCTTCAGTGAGGTCATGACGTGAAGTGCTTAACACACGGTAAGTGCTTAAAAACTGAGTTCTTACCGCTAGTACTTCTGTTACTGCAGTTGTTGATGAGATGATAGAAATGGCCAGAGACGGTTTTCTGCTGTGACAAAAACCTCCATTGGAGAAAGGAACTTCCAGACATCTCTCCCCCAGCTCACCCCCCGCTCAGCTGAGAGCGGCACTGAGATCACTTCAAACCCCGGCAACCTTGGAAAGCTCAGAACTGAAGTTGGCAGGAAGGGTTGGGGAATCCATGGAGCCCGACCCTTCGATATTACAGGTGTGGAAGTTGAGGCCTACAGAGGCCAGTGACCCTGCCATGGTCATCATCCGTCCAAGTGGTAGTTCTCCTTCTCTCCAGGTTCCCAGCCCAGCAGAAAGTCTAGTTGGGGCCTGGGCAGACAGATCTTCTCGAGGAAAGTGGCTTCGAGTCAGAAGAGAACGCGTGCGTGCAGGTGTGTGTGTATGAGTGTGCATGTTGATGTGTGACTAGGGCGGGCTCATCTTAGGGTGTCAGGGGGCCCCTGCAGACCATGAAGCTGAGGGCACAGTCAAAGCCCTCCTTATTGAGAATGGGCCTAGTTTATCCTCCCCTGGATACTCCCAACTCTTCCTTGCAGAAAAGAGCATTGGTCATATTATTACTGATCCCAGCGCTCCTAACCTTCCACGCACGTGAAGATATATGCACACAGTGCATCGGAGCCACACCTCTAGATTTGCTTGAGATTACTTTAGACACTTCTGGAAGGCTTGGGAGGCTTTAGCCAGACTACAGCCTTTCCGTAAAACCTTTTCTCCGAACCTGGCTTTGATCACATTGTTTAAGTGGATTAATGAGTGTAAAGTGCTTAGAAGGGAGCCTGGCACCTAGTAAAAGCTACATAAATATTTGCCATTATGATTCTTCAACCGTTACCAACAAGTTTCATTTCCTGGCTCCTGAGGCCAAGTACTCTTCACAGCAAAGGACATTCCAGCAAAGCGTTTGAAGTCTGAAGCTCACTGGCTGCTTCCGCAGGCCCCCGGGGGTGGGCAAGGGGGAATCGGGCTTCTCTTTCCTCCAGGAAGCTGGCACTGTACTCCCAGCTCCAGGCAGGTTTCGGGGCCCAAGCTGTCTCTGTAGTAGTAATATCTAATGCTTACTAGGATGCCAACCATGAGCCAGGCCATGGCTTCCCTGTGAAGTAGGCATTATCGTCATGTCCATTTTTAGATGAGAAAACAGAGGCACAAAGCACTGAGTGTCCAGCTGGGGCCGTTGGACTCCAGAGTCCACGCTGGAGCATGGAGGTCTGAGCAACTGGATGTCCCTACTTCCTCGAAGACATCTCAGAGCCTGGATCATAGAGTCAGATCCCAGAGTGCCGCATGGACGCTCTGACCCATTCCCCACCCCTCCTCCACGGTCACGGAGCCCTCTGCATATTTCTGAAGTGCATCTCATTGCCATGTGTGTGTTCCTCTCTCCATACTGAGCGACTTGAGGTCACAGACCTCAAAGCCCGGTAGGCACCCAGGAAACATTGAATTATTTGCTTAATTAACTTTTGGTCTTAGCTCAGGCTGCTATAACCTATGGTGAAAACACCATACACTGGGAGGCTGAAATAATAGGAATTTATTTCTCCCAGTTTGGGAGCCTGGGAAGTTCAAAATCAAGATCTTGAGCAATTTGGTTCCTGGCGAGTACTCTCTTCCAGATGCTGTCTCCCCCCACAGTGGAGAGAGGGGGGTGAGGGTCGGGAGCTCTGTTCTCTCTTTCTCTTCCTATAAGGGCACTTATCATAGGTTCCCCCCCCCCCATGAACTTATCTAACCCTGATCACCTCCCAAGTGCCCCATGTCCAAAGACATTGAGGAGTTAGGGCTTCAGCATATGAGCTGTTAAATTTGGTGTTTGATATATTTGTCTTACAAATGAGAAAACCAAGACCAGGAAAAAAAAAAAAAAGAGGTTTACTGGAGGCACTTAGTGTTTAGGGATGTCTGAGCCCATCCTGATACCACCACCATTTGCTAGCTGTAGGGGCAAGTGACTTCAGCTCTCTGAGCCTCAGTTTGCTCAGCTGTAAAACGGGCATGATACCGATACCCCTCCTAGCCTGATCTGAGCAGTTATACACTCACCACCCAACGAATGGCTGCTGCTATTAAGAATGTAAGACATTTCCCAGTGCTCTTTCCTCTCTATCTTGTGGCCACGAGAGTGGCCCAGAGAAGGGAGAGCAAAACTCGGGCATGAGAAGCCCCAGGACCACCAGTGCGGATCCAGGACTCACTAGTGGAGGAGGACGGCCTGACAGCGGGCTGTGTGAACCAGGGAGGCAGCGGGAAGTGAGGCAGCCCTCCCAGAGGCCACCTTCCCGGTCTCCTGGGACATCTGGGGCCCAGGAGTGGGGGTGGGGCTGGGGGTTGGGACGTGGCCCCCAGAGCCTCCCTCACCGCCCCTCCTGGCTGGCTCCCAAGGCGGATCTGGGCGGGAGGCAGCGTGGTAGTGCACTGTGGGCGGCTGGATTGGTGCCAGGGGAGCGAGCAGCCAGATTGAGTGGGAAGGTGACAATTTCTTCTTTTAAAAAGAGAGAGAGAGAGAAAAAATGAGGCCTGAACTCCACTGGTGTGTTCTTTTTTCTTCACAAGCTCAGAGCTCCCAAAGACTTTGACTCCCACCCCAGCTGGGAGACCTTGGTGGCCTTTAGTGCTGCTAATTGAAGGAAAGGACCACTGCAGGCTCCCGGTTTCCAGAGCAACGAGCCCTTTTGTGCATCCCCTCCCCTTCCTTCCCCTCCACCCTCCCTCTGTCACCTCTGGCCTCATCTCTTACCTTCTCACCCTCTCCGATTCCCAGCTTGGCTGAAGCATTTGCAGTTCTCCAAATGTTCCATATTCTCTCATACCCCCAGGCCTTTGCACCTGCTGTGTCCTCACTGGAAACATGTTCCCTGACTCTTATCTTTGAGGTCTCAGTTGAGACATCATCCCCTCCCAGAAGCTTCCCAGATCTCCAAATCCTAGGTGCCACTTTTAGGTGCTCCTGTGGCAACACCCTGAAGTTTCCCCATCTGGGAAGGGGGCTCCTGTCCTAATCAACCCATGAGCTCCTTGAGGAGACAGTTGGAGCGGCCACCAGTTCAACTAGGGAGACAAAGCGAGTAAACAAATAACCAGCCTCCAAAAATAATTTCGGGATGTTCCCTCAAGTTTTTGCCAGCGTGACCCACATCCACAAATGGCATAATAATTTATTTCTGTACTTATTTTTCTTAAAAAGTTTTTAACATTTTACTTATTTTTGAGAGACAGAGACTGAGTGCAAGCAGGGAAGGGGCAGAGAGAGAGGCAGACACAGAATCGGAAGCAGGCTCCAGGCTCTGAGCTGTCAGCCCAGAGCCAGACGCGGGAAGCCCATGAACCATGAGACCATGACCTGAGCCAAAGTTGGACGCTTAACTGAGCCACCCAGACGCCCCCATTCTTATTTTTCTTTATGTCAATCTTGTAAAACCCAAGCGATCAGAAGCCCCCTCTGTGTAGCTGGCCACAGTATCTCCAGCTAACTGCCTGAGCCCAAGTGGGTGCTCAAATAGAATTTGTTGAATGAAAAAGGAAATGAATGAATGTCCAGACCATCAAGACTGAGTCAAAAGGAAATGGGCTTAAATCCGACAGGAATCTCTAAATTAGGTCTGGAGCCATACAGCCTGGCTTTAAAAACCACCTCCGCCACTCAGCTGCTGTGTGATATTGGGCATGTTACTCAACCTCTCTGTCCTTGGTTCCTTCCTCTGTAAAACGAGAGTGATTGTGGTATCTACCTTGTAGGATGTGTGAAGACTAACTGAGCTGATATGCGCAAAGAGCCTGACACCATGCCTGGTTCAGGTGACAGCCAGTGGGGTTGGTCCTGTTTGTTACCATCATTACCTGACTCATCAAGCTGTAAACCTATAGAAATCCCTTCGTGAGAGAGACACAGATTAGCGAAGGCTACTTTGGGGTTCAGGCTGATAAAAGGCCTCTAAGACCCTTCTAGTCTCAGTTTCTAGAAATCCCAGAGGGAAGGGGGGTGTGGGATACCAGGCAGGGTGGAGTTCATTATCCCATGTGCAAACACGTGGCTTTTTGCCTCCCAGATCCTTCCAATTAAAGGCCTTTGCCTGCCCAGGTGGAAAAGGGAATAATTGAGCAGTGACCTGTCACAGCCCCATTTTCTGGTATGTTTCACCCCAGGCATCCATAACCACCATTTGTTCAGTAGACAAAATCAAAGGAACCAGGAGGGTGAAGGAGGGAGCTTGTTTTCCACAGGGAGACCTGCTTTGGAAATATCCACCAGGCTTTAGGACCCAGGAGAAGCCTTTGGACCTTGGGGAGAGGGGAGTAGGAACCCTGGCCGCCTCCTTTCCCCTTCCAGCCCCTTTCATTTAATTATTAAAGTCTCTCTGCATCTTCAAAGGTAGTGCCACAAAGTTCCTACAAAGAGCTCAGCAACATCCACTGTTTCAAGAGGTGGAACAAAGCAGGACTGACCGTGTGGCTGTCTGGGGCCGGGGGAGGAAGGGCAGTTCTGGTCAAATGAGAAAGCCCAGTGGCTCTGGTCAGTGATGGGAGACATGGAACCTGTCTGCTTAGCGTGGCTCTCTGGATTAAGACATCTGACTCTTTCCCCCAGATAAATGCGCATGCACACGTACACACTCTTGATTTTGCACTTCATTTCAGGGGACACAATGGATCCCCGAAACCCCATCAACCCCGGCTATGAAACCCTGAGCTAATCATTAATAGTCATACTATTACAGAGCAATCCATGGACGCCAAGCATTTGGCGAACTTCTATGAAGTAAGGTGCTGAAAGACAGTGAACCATTCTCAGCCCCGTTGATGTCCCATGATGAGACATCATGTGGACTTTCAGATCAAAGACTCTGGTGTCAGGAGGTTCGGTTCAAATCCCTACCTGCCACTTGCGAGCAGGATGACCTTGGGCAAGTCACTTAACCTGTCCAAGCCTCAGTTTCCCTGTAGGTGTGTGACACATTACAAATACTTCATAAATGTTGTCCACTACTTTATTATTCAAGAGCTCAGCCAGCTGTTACAGTGGCTTGAAAGGCAAAGATCCCACACCCTTGGGGGGGGGGCCACAAAAGGGGCCCCAGAGATCAACCAGTTTGACAGCTGAATGTGCCATTGTCACCTGGCATGTTAGGCACAGAGCTGGAGGCTGGGACCCGGACCTCCAGAGTCCCAGTCCAACAGATGTTAGCCCTGCCCCCCACTGTGGGTGAGCTACCTAACATAGCTCAAGGCAGGCTCTCAGTGCCCCTTCTTCCTCGAAACCAGTCATCTTGAGTTGTGGTTTCCAAAAAAAAGATATCTCCTAAGAGGCCTTCAAGGGGGTCGAGGCTTGGAGGAACTTTATTGTCTCAAAAGTGGATTTCCATCTGTGCTTTTTCAGAATTAAGGATGCTTCCTAACCCCAGTAGTTCGCTGGGCTACAGATATAAATAGGCTTGGCTATAGTTTGTCAGTAAACACGTGGAGAAATATCTGCCCTCACCACAGAGCCCAGAGTTGCACATTGAAACAAGACACCTTTTTTTTGCTTATAAAATTTGCAAAGATTGCCATTAAAGTGACAACACCCGGCACTGGCGAGGGCACTGTGAGATGGGCACTCTCAGACATTACTGTGGGAGGATAAATTGCTTTCAGGAGGCAATTTAGCAAGTTGTATCAAAGCCTTAAAAATCTCTCCTTGGAAAATCTTCAGAAATGCTGAAAAAAGCTTGATGTATGAGGCTGTTCATCTCAGCATTATGTGTATTTGTTTTTAAAAAAAGGGAACCAGTCTAATTATCCACAAATAGGGGAATGATTAAATAAACTCTAGGGGGACCACTCCGTGGAGTATTCAAGAGCTATTTAAAACAATGTTTATGAGGGGTGCCTGGGTGGCGCAGTCGGTTAAGCGTCCGACTTCAGCCAGGTCACGATCTCGCACTCCGTGAGTTCAAGCCCCGCGTCGGGCTCTGGGCTGATGGCTCAGAGCCTGGAGCCTGTTTCCGATTCTGTGTCTCCCTCTCTCTCTGCCCCTCCCCCGTTCATGCTCTGTCTCTCTCTGTCCCAAAAATAAATAAACGTTGAAAAAAAAAATTAAAAAAAAAATAAAATAAAACAGTGTTTATGAAAATTTATAATAACAGGAGGGGAATATATTCTAATTTTTGGAACTCTGAATATTGACAGGTATGTATAGTACAATATAATAATTGAATTTTTAAAAAAAATTTTTTTTTCAACGTTTTTTATTTTTATTTTTAATTAACACAGAGAGGGAGCCAAGTATCGGCAGTATTTCATTTCCCCTAAAATAAACAAACTCCAAGCTCAAACCAGCAAGCCGAGCACCAGGCGGCGAATATGCCATTGACCTGGCGAAATCAAATAACTGCGCTCCCACCAACGCCTTAATATTAATTTTTACAAATCACTGCGTTCAAGCATGATACGAAGAAAAACACACCAAAGCAGTAACATTTTTCAAGTGTTCTATAATGAGCATATATTACTTTTGTCATTTGGTAAATTTTAGGTACGCATGTATTTTTTGGACCTCAGGCATAGAATGTTACTAATCACAATGGGACATGTTTTACTTTCACTCTTGAAAAGGTGTCATAAGCTGTAGGAACAATGTTTCCACTCTATCAGCCCTCCCGCCAGCCTCTTTCTCTGCCCACAGCCATGCCCGAGCTGCCCCCGGCTTCTCTGTGCCCACTGTTCTGGATGGAGTTCCAAGGCCACTGCTACCGATTTTTCCCTCTCAATAAGACTTGGGCCGAGGCTGACTTCTACTGTTCTGAGTTCTCCATTGGCAGGAAGTCTGCGAAACTGGCCTCCATCCACAGGTGAGTGGACATCCGTCCCCCACAGCCCAACCAAGCACCCCCTTTGGAACGGAGAGTGAAAACTGGCATTTCTCACTGGTGTGTTTCTCTTTGGTAATTCAAGCTAACTTTGATCTAGCCCAATTTCTCATTGAAACGGATCCGGCCTGGGGGGCGCTCGGTCGGTTAGGCGTCCAACTTGGGCTCAGGTCATGATCTCGTAGTTCATGTGTTCAAGCCCTGCGTTGGGCTCAGTGCTGACGGCTCAGAGCCTGGGGCCTGCCTCAGATTCTGTCTCCCTCTCTCTCTGCCCCTCCCCCACTCCTGCTTTGTCTCTCTCTCTCTCT